GCTTTACCAGTACAGCAGTCACAAAGCTAACTATTGAGCAGCTATAGTGTGGCAGGCAAGGCCATGTGGGGTCAGCGGGGTAACCTGCGTGTCTCTGCTGTGGGCTGGGAGCTGCCTGTGGCAAGCATGGGCTCCATGCAGACCCAGCAGTGGCTTGTCCAGCGTCTATTACACTGCCTCTGGTGGCTGTACTTTGAGGCTCATTTTTCAGAGCACGTCACTGTATTTGTCTGTATTAGATGTTAAAAATAATATAGCCAAAGACTCTTAAGCCACAGTTTACTTCATGCAATAAAATGTAAATATAAAGTGTGTTTAGAGCATAGGCAGTTCAGGGGGGATTCTGTGCTCCTTCCTCTAGACTCCCCGTCACCGATGTTCCCATCATAGTGGTAGGATGTGATGAGCTTGATGGTGTTTCAACATGTGTTCGTTAAGATCACCTGCAGCATGTTTGGTTTTATTCCTTTTCGTGCTTAAATGTTAAATACAGCACCAAGTAAGTTAGATTTGTGTTTGGTACTCAATGATTTTTTTTTTGTTTTTGACTTTCTGAGTTAGAATAGATCATTTATCTAGCTTGGTAAGATAGGTGAAAGAGATTAATGGTTCATTACATACCTCTGCAAGAGTTCTGAAATCAAACTTTTTGCTCTGGTGTTTTGTTGTTGCTGCCGTTTAGGTTTCCTTTGAGATGTCATTACCTCATTTCGTGAGGTTTCACCCGTGTAGTTGTGTTAATGTTTGTTGAGAGCTTCAGAGTTTATGTTTCTGATTAATAGGAACACAGCAGAATTTCTTAAAGTTAGTGTGAAAGTAACTGCTCACTATAGCCATAAATAGGTTCTATGGTTTTCATGTCACAAGCTTTCCAGAACATCTTGTGACTTTCAAAGATCACCTTTGATGCTTGTATAAACTGCAAACAGTAGATTTGTTTCTGGATATCTGGCAGCGTGTGGTGTTGTCTCATGGCTGTCATTTAACTGTGAAAGGCGTGTGCCTTTTCACTGTTGTCTTTAAGCCCTCGCATTCTTCTCAACCTTGGTATAGTCAACCACTCGTCAGCTGATGTGGTTTCGCGTTTTTGCCTGTATCATTAATCACTCATGTAAAGTTCTCCTTTCACAAGGTTTGTCAATTACTGTCAAAACAAACATGTTTTCTGGGCTTGCATGGAAAGGAAAGGAGAGGGAAATTTCAGAGAACTGAATTTTTAATTATTTTGACTTTATTATTAATGTTAGCCATTATCCTATAAACTACGGAATTATGATTGAGACTGTAATGGATACTTTATTTAAGGAAATGTGTTTCTGAAGCACTGATGAACACTGAGAATTTACACATGTGACTGGACAATGCTGATGAGTCAAAGGGAGACGTTCTCTTTCCCGAACAACAGATCATCTGTTTTTTCTTCTGAATATTTGAGTTACGTAATACTGAATATTCTTTTTAACTTTGTTTTCTGAAGCAATGCATTCTTTTTGGAGGACTCTCTTGCTTTGTTAACTACTAATAAAATTATGTCTATGGGCTGATTTTTTTTATTTTTCTTTAGATAATCATCAACTATGTATAAACATGAATAAGAAACTTGGACTTCCCCAATGACACCATGTATTCTTAGCTGCTTTCATAAACACTTTTGTAAATTTTATTTATGTCTTCATTAGAAAAGGATCATGAACCCCGGTAAAGCAATTTGACTGCAACTAGAATTCTTAAGACGATAATGAGGTATGCCAGACAGAGAACTTCGTGACATTGCACTGTGTTAAAATATCAGTATGGAAAGAGCTGTCAACTGTCTTTAAAATGTATTGGCATTTAGATACCAATACAAATCATAGCTTCTGAAATTACAGAATTTAAAACATGGTAATGTAAGGCCTGCATTGTGGTACAACATAATAAGCTGCAGCCTGCAGTGCCAGAATGTATTGGACCAGGTGTTCCAATCCAGGCTGCTCTGATTCTGCTCTAGCTCCCTGCAAATGTACGTGGGAAGGCAAAGAAAAATGACCCAAGTGTTTGGGCCCCTGTCCACCTGAGTGGCTGGGGTTCTGGGCTCCTAGCTTCAGGCAGCAGCAGCCCTAGCACTTGCTGCTGTTTCAGGGCTGAATCAGCAAATGGAATCCCTCTGTCTCGCTGTCTTTGTCTCTGGCCTTCTGTCTACCACTTTGTCATTCTGCCTTTCAAATCATCAGTAAAAACAAATCTTTAGAAAAATCTTTTCCACTTGATAATTTAGTAAGAGATTAGGAATTAACTCAGCTTTCCAGATGCCTAGAGATTCCTCTTTTCTTTTTGTTTGTTTGTTTTTGCTTCTTGTTTCCTTTGTCTTTATATTTGTCTTGACTTTCACATTCGTGTAAATGGGAATTGTGCTGGTTCATAGAGTTTTCTAGATAAATATAGTGTAGCTCATGATTTTACTATTAGGTTTACATTGATATAATTGAAAAACATTTTGCTATTTTTGGTATTTATTTATTTGGAAAGGCAGATTTACAGAGAGACAAATAGAAAGATGTTCTGTGTGCTGGTTCACTCCTCACATGGCCACAACAGCTGGAGCTGAGTTCATCTGAAGCCAGGAGCTTCTTCCAGTTGGGTGCAGGGTTCCATGACTTTGTGCCTTCTTTTCCTGCTTTCCCAGGATATAGGCAGGGGGCTGGTTGGGAAGTAGAGCAGCCGGGACATGAACTGACACCCAAATGGGATGCAGGTAGAGAATTAGCCAGTTGAACCTTCATACTGGTCCCTCAAGTTGCTTTTTAAATCAATAACATTCTCTTTACAACTTTATCTGTGATTTAGACATGTATTTCTGAAGGTCAGACATACTAACATTGGTACTGGATCAAAGTAAGGTGCAAGGCCAAAAGGGCATGCTTAAACAAATGGAAATGTTCTATTTCATTGAAACTACCTAGTTTTGAGAACTCTTTTATTTGGCAGACATGATATATACCTGTCAAATCAGCCTCTCTCTTTTTTTTCTATTTTTTTTAAAAGCACATTATTCCATAAACACTTATCTGTTAAAAGGTGATTTTTCCCCCCTCTTTGTAGACATATCGTAAAGCCTATGTCTACTGCCTTATTTTTTCATCATAAAATCCTGGACATTAAAGTTAGCCCTGTTGCTCTAATGTAAAGGAAAATAAAGGAAAAGTCAACCTTGCATAGTTGGAATAAAATGTTGACAAAAAAGAAACGGAGAACTTCCCTGGCTCCTTATTTCAAGAATTAGTAAGTTAAAGATGGGAGATATTCCTGTTAAGGAGTGGCTTTATACAATAATGGATTGCAACAAATAATACCAATATGTTATTACAGCTATAAAATAAATTACATATTTCGGAGAATCACTAGAGCCAGAAATTTAATCACAGTGAGATGTTATGTCCCAAACAATGTTCACTGTATGCATCCTATTTTGCGTAATACTAATACGTTTAATTTTGTCAAGTATATTTTAATATTGATTCTAAATTAGAATTTATTTGATTTTGCTCTGAGAAGCTTGTTTGTGGGTAGCATTTATCATGTTACTGCGATTTGTACTAAATTGAAAAATTATATGGAAATACCTTGCTTATTATAGTCTTGGAACTCACACAGTAAGCAGACTGTCAGTCTAAAATTCCTTCCATTTTAGACTACAAGGTTCTCTTGTCAAATGAGGCAACATTCCAAATGCTATCTAAATGCCCTCGTGTTACCTCTGTTCTCTCCTCTTTGTCCTTGCCTCTGTGAAGTGTGCTTATACAACGCCAAGCTACTAGAAAATAATCTGAATCCTGTTGATGTTATGTGAAAGTTGATTATATTCATTGAATAGTAAAAGAATTATCATAATTTGTGTAATAATTCTTCTGTTTCAAAAGGTAAATTAGTACTCAAGAATGTTTTATGCACATGAACCAATGTTTTCTCCATGTTACAAGAAGCAATTAGTAACAGTAGTGATCATTTTTGTTGCTCAACAATTTAAGTATTTTAGAAATGTTAACTGACTTAACCAATCCTTGCGATTTTTGGGAGTAGATAATACTATACCCATGCATAGGAGTTGCATAGAAAATCAAGAGTTTGTGACAAAGTCCAAAGTACCTGCAAGAAATGGTCCAATTCTGATGAGATTTTTAAAGCGTCTCTGATATATTGTCCAGTCTTGGACATGTTATTGAAATATTGCTTGTTTTTAACTAACGAATTTAATGTAGGGGCTGATGTTTAGGTACAGTGGGTTAAGCCAGTACCTGGACAGCAACAGTCAGCGCCGTTTTGAGTGCTGGTGACTCAACTTCTGATTCAGCTGCTTGGTAATGAGCCTGGGAAGAACAGTCAGGGCTGGTCCACGTGCTTGGGCTCTGCTTCCCCATCCTCGAGGAGGCCCTGATGGACTCACAGGCCAAGCCCGGCCTAAGTTGTTCAGCCATTTAGGGCGTAAACCAGGAGGTGGTAGATCTCTCTCTCTCTTTGTTGCCTCTCTTTTTCTCTCTGTGTGTGTAACTCAAATAAATAAGTAAATCCATCAGAGATTCCGTAAGTTCAATGTTTTTATTTTTTAAAATCCCAAATATACAGGTATATTTTACTATTATCCTACAAAAAGTGGAAGAAATAACACACAGGGGTTAGTAATAAATCACTGTTTTAAACTCCAATGATTAGACTGAAATGAACCTCTGATCTTTTTGCAGAAACTCTTTTGCCTTTTTGAAAATGGCACTTACAGGAACAAAGGCAGATACCACATGTATAAGTTGGCTTTACTGATGATGTCAACTAATTTGCCTAAATAGTCGCTCCATCATCAGAGGAGACTTCAAGTAACACCTTCAAGTTTTAGAGGAGCAAATAGCGAGTTCAGCTAGTGCCGTCGAGGTGGATTCAGCTAGTGCCGTCGAGGTGGATGCCTTCTGTCAATGTAAGTCATGCATCTCAGTGTTTGAGTGGTTACTGTCTTTCTTCTTTCCTTCTAGGGGCCGCTCTTAAAGTACAGTGCTTTTCTTTGACGCCTCAAACAAGTGGATCTTGCAAACCAAAGGACTTTAGGACTGTTGGCCAGTAGAGTTAACTTTGTGAGTAGCTTCGGAGTCCTGTTTTAGTTCATGCAGTTATTTTATGTCTTGTTTATGAAGTTGGAGGATCTGAGTGGGAATGTGTTTCCAGTTTGCTCCTTTGATTTCCTTTTTGCTCTACACTCAGAGAATGATTGTTGACATAAGTGAAAACATGAAATGCTCTTACTGGATGCCTGGCTTACTGAGGGAGCCAGCTTTGCTCCTGTGTCTTCATTATTAAGAGCTTGCACTTACAGGCTCTGATGCTTATTAATTAAAATCTAGTCATGCATCACTTTTTTTTTTTTCTGTAAAATGAAGGCAGCAGTTCTGTTGTGAGGGTTAACTGTGTTCATTTATGTTAAATATTCATCACAGAATTTGGCATGTTGTGAGGGTTTTATAAATGTTAGCTATTATTAGCATTTCTTCCATAAATATTAAAGTCTCCAGACTTTCTCTATTTTTGCAGTTATAAATAGGACAGAGCCATTTTAAATGCACCTAAATTCTATCAATTTCATAATTTGTTATTTTAGTTACTCTAGAAAGGTTGCTTGTATTTTCAAGTAGTTCGCTTTTGCTATATCCATTATTACTAATCTGTAGATGAAGCCAAGTTTGCCTTAAAAGTCATAACTCATTTTTCTTTTAATTTGCTTGTGTGCTTTAGCATTTATACATTGTGAATCTTTGAGTTTGTTTTGATATCACTAAGTATGAAAACTTTCTAGTACTAGGGAAAGTTCGCACATTGTTAAAGCAGAAATTCTATATGAAAAATATTTTGAAAGTGAGAAAGCCTAGTTTGAACGTTGAGTTTCTAAAGGCCCAGAGCCTGTGGAATTATACCGTAATTAAAAATAAAATAGAAAAAAAAAAGAATTATTTTTATTTACGTGAAAAACAGACTTTGATTTTTAAAGATTTATTTATTTTTATGGGAAAGTCAGATTATTAGAGAGAAGGAGAGACACAGAGAAAGATCTTCCTTGTGCTGGTTCACATGTGGTCACAACAGCCAGAACTGAACTGATCTGAAATCAGCAGCCAGGAGCCTCCTCTGGATCTCTCACGCAGGTGCAGGATCCCAAGGCTTTGGGCTGTCCATGACTGCTTTCCCAGGTGACAGGCAGGGAGCTGGATGGGAATTGAAGCAGCCACGATATGAACCAGGATCATAGAGTGGATTTGGCGAGTGCAAAGGGGAGGACTTTAGCCACCAGGCTACCATGCTGGGCCCAAGAGAAAACCTTTTATCTGCCGTTATTACTTGATGACTGCTTGATGTCCCCCTAGGGTGCACATTAGCAGGAAGCTAAAATTGTTGGTAGAGCTGGGACTGCAACTGAGACACTCCAAAATGGGTTGTTTATATCCCAAGCTGCATCTTTATCACTCTGCTAAATGTCCACCCGAATAGATGTGTTGTTGAGAGAGGTGTCTCTTAAATGGACAAATAGAAGTTGCTACTTTTTGATAGGACGTTCTCTGCTTGGCTGTGAGAGTTCTTCAAGCATGCATTTGGTCAACATTCTAAAGCTTCACCACAGTCACTATGTTCTAAGGCACAGTACATTAATTAGCCAACATGTGTTATACATCACTAAGTACCAACAGATAAATGTCTCCTGAAGGTTTTCCTAGCAAAACAAAGAACCCAGAGTCCCCGGAAGAGTAGATTCTAGCAGTAGATATAGGCAGGGAAGTTAGACTGTTCCATCCTTTGTAGCCTGCGACACCAAAAGACAGACAGCAGTATGTCATGATTCCATAGACAGCTTTAAATAGAGCATTGTTGTAAGGGAATGGATTGCTTGCACCAGTCTTCTGACTCCCTAGGTTTTCTCCAGGAGAAACACACACCTGGAAGAAAAGGAAGAACATCTCTTTCAATTGGTGTCTTAACTACTGCAATCACAGGCCTTACTTGGATAGTGTTTCAGAAACAAATACTGAAACTCACTGTGCGCCTTTAGTGAAATGAGATTTCTATTTTTTCTTAAATTATATTTGGCCTCTTGGTCGCGCCCTTATTTCACTTCCTTCTGTTTCTGTTTTTACGATCCCACCTCTCACACACTTCACTCATCCACTTGGATACAGCTAAAATTCACAAAATAAGGAAAGCTTTCCCTGAGGTAATGGAAGAATGTAGATCTTTGGGTGAGCATAGAGACTGTTTTGAACACTAAAGCTACACAGGGTATCACTCGTTCTTGCCTCTGACTTAAATTCAGTAGGTGACAGAAGGGTAGGGGGAAAAAAATCACTGGGAGGTATTGAGTAAATTGCGTTGAAATGCTCTGCCAGTTCTCCATCTCTGAGACATTACTAGGGAGAGATGCAGGATTGTCCCCAGGACATACTCCATGTTTAAAGTTGCACTAACCCACTCACTGGATTCCCATTTCTTCTCTGTAGACTGTGTTACATGGCTGGGTGCTGATGCTAATCACCAAATAACTAGGAGGCATTTAGGCTGAATTGGTCACACATACTTGGCTTTGGTAAAACTAGGAAAATCTGTACATTTTTAGTGTCATCTGTATAGAGCGTAACCCTGAAACCATGAATTGAGAGTTCCTGATATGAGTAAATCGGTTCCATTTGCTAATGTTTCCATAGAAAATTTGGTTAGTAGTTTAATAGCTTCAAATGCAGGAGAACTTGTCTTAACAAGTTCCTAGAAATCAAATCCTGGCAGCGTTTCACTGCTTTACTGTTACAGCAGATGCCTGGAGTGCGTAGTGGTCTGTAGGATTTGGGCACTTACCTGTGCTGGCAAGTTTGTGTGATGAAGTTACAAGAGGTTCTTCAGGACTTGACAACTCTAATACTATTTTGTACGTCTAGATAGTTAATCATTTGGGGCAGTTAACAGCTTTCTGCTTTGGGAGAGTAATTATTTGAGAAAAGGAGAAGCTGTTTTCTTTATCCCTGCATTCCTATTACTCATAATATAATGGATTTTGCATTCTAATTGCTCAGTGTTGGGAAACCAATGGATTAAACCAGGAAGAATATAGATTCAGCTAACCTCTGATCGTCATTTAATTTTTCCAGCAGGTTTTGTTAGAGAGTATGAATTGACAAATGGTAAAATGGAATTTCTAATTTGGACTTATCTTTCAAGTTTTGAGTTTCCTTTGATAGGAATGCTGTGTGTCCTAGTAAAATTATCACACCGCGTAGACCAGAGTAGAATATAAATTCTCTGTAAGACAGTAAGCCTGAGGAAAGGCATATTGCAGAGATGGCTGCATTAAGCTTGCATAGATTTTCCCTTTGGATCCAGCAATCAGATGTGGTATGTACTCAAGTGTTATGTTATCACAGATGTATGTGTCAGGGAACATGTAACCAGTATGTGGATGGGAAGTTGGAGTAAGGTCATCTGTTCAGTACAAGAAGCAGAGTTTAAGAAGCATTCTGACATTGAGTCACTTACCTTTGTTTTTTTAACTTTTTTTTTTTTTTGGAATAGTTTCCAGAAGGGCAGCATGCTTTTCATGCTCCACACTAGTAGGAATTAGCTGCTTTCCAAGGGGAATGAAGCCCGGGGGAGGGAAGGGGCCTAGGCGTGTCCCTGGGCCAACTAAAGAGGGTGGGGAACCTTTTTTTCAGCCAAGGACCATTTGGATATTTTTAATATCTTTTGTAGTCCATACAAAATTATCAACCTGAAAAGTATACTGCTAGATGGCTTTATTGAATTTGGAGTAATGCCTGTGGTTACCTTTAAGGCCACGCCAAATGATTTCATTGTTTTTGTGGCCCATGGGCCAGGTGCTCCCCAGCCATATGCTGTGTGCTTGTCTCCCATCTAGGAGAACACCATAAATGTCAAGTCCACACAGGAACTACATGCAAAAGTAAAAGCATTGAAATCATTCAGCCTTATTAAACCCTGTGCAGGATCATGGTTCCTGGGAACTATCTTTGCCATAAGACTTTATACTACTTTTCCTGTTGTTACTCCATGACACTTTCATGTGAGAATTTTATACTTTTGTTTAAAATACCAGTAGTGATAATAGAAGGCTTTCATTAAGTTTTTCTAAAGATGTGTTTTATTTATTTGAAACGCAAAGTGACACAGAGAGAGGAAGAGAAAAAAAGATTTTTTTTTTTTTTTAAATTTACTCTTTCATTCTCCAAAACATCACAAGGACTGGGGCTGGCTTAGGTTAAATCCAAGGTCCAGCGATTCCATTTGAGTCTCCTGTGTGGGTGGCAGGAGTCCAAACACTTGGGCTATCTTCAGCTGCTTTTCCACGCTCATTAGCAGCAAACTGCATGGAAAGAGGCTTTTTTCTTACCCAGCACTGTTTTAACTCACTCTGTCACAAAGCTGGTTCCTCAAAGGTTTTACTTAAGATTGTCCCAAGGTAGGGAGACTGACATATTCATTCCTCTATGGTTGAACCAGTGGAAGACTTTGTTGATCACTAATGCCATTGTTATATTTTTAAAACCTGGGTAAAAAAATCCTGGCTTCTTATTTTACAAGTTGTAGTAGAAAGCCAAAGCACATTATAACACCCATAACAGTGTTCATGGCTGTAGCAATTGGTGAAACCTACCCATGTGACGTCATTGTCTTCAATAAGAGATTCCTTGTATATCTGTGCTTTTTTGCCAAGGGTTTGGGTCATGGGCAAATGTTTGTGGAACGCAAGTAGAGGTTTGGTTGCTGGAATAACATCTGGGAGACTACTGAATGTATTGAAGTTATACGGGAATGTAGGAAGGGAGGTGGATTTGAATCTTTGTGGAAATGGAATCTACGAGGGTTGATGTTTGTGGCAGAGAGGGGAAGGGACTTGTGCTGAGTCCGTGGCGGAATCTAAGAGAAAGCTGTGAGATCAGAATATCTGCTGTGGGTGATGGGAGGGTGCTCTGTCAAAAGACTCTGAGCTAGGAAAATATTTTAAAAAGTCTCTGTCTCTGTCTCTCTCTCCAGTGTGTTTCCTGTACTGGCTGAGTGCCTGTTCACTGCATAATGAAGAAGGAAA